AAAAAAAAAAAAAAAAAAAAAAAGATGTGAATTCTCTCACAAAAGGAAATCTCAGCTGCCATGAAAACAACAAAAGCATACTAAACAATAAGGTGTTTTCAAATTTTCAGTACAGTACTAGGACTACAAACTGCTTATTTCATCTACTATCATTGGGGAAAAAAAATAAACTTTAAAAATGGCAGTTTTTTTTATTCAAGAGCAGTAATTATGATGTTAAACACCAAAACAGCCAACATTTTAGGAGGCTTAGGCAGGAGAATGGCTTGAGCCCAGGAGTTCAAGACTACCCTGGCCAACATAACAAGACCTGCTGCTAGAAAAAAAATACAAAAATTAGCTGGGCATGGTGGTGCTCACCTATAGTTCCAGACACTTAGGAGGCTACAGGGAGAGGATCACTTGAGTTCAGAAATTTAGGTTTCATTGTTACACTGTAATTAGTATTAAAATATGGTTTATAACTTGGTCTAATATAACATCACTCATAATATGGCTATGTCTCTACCATTGTTTTGATTTTGCTTGTTCATTTGTTTTTGAGATAGGGTCTGTGTTGCCCAGGCTGGAGTGCAGCAGTGCGATCATGGCTCACTATAGCCTTGATCTCCCAGGCTCAGTGATCCTCCTGCCTCAGCTTTCCAAGTAGGTGGGACTACAGGCATTTGCCACCATGCCCAGCTAATTGTTTTTATTTTTAAACAGACAGGGTCCCATTATGGTGCCCAGGCTGGTCTCAAACTCCTGGGCTCAAGCAATCCTCCTGCCTTGGCCTCCCAAAGTGCTGGGATTACAGGTATGAGCCACCACACCCAGCCAGAGTTGTTATTTTTATTTTTTTGAGATGGAGTCTTGCTCTGTTGCCAGGTTGGAATGTAGTGGCACAATCTCAGCTCACTGCAACCTCTGCCTCCCAAGTTCAAGTGATTCCCCTGCCTCAGCCTCCTGAGTGGCAGGGACTGCAGGCACCCACCACCATGCCTGGCTAATTTATTGTATTTTAGTAAGGACGGGGTTTTACCATGTTGGCAAGGGTGGTCTCAATCTCCTGACCTCCTGATCCACCCACCTCAGCCTCCCAAAGTGCTAGGATGATAGGCGTGAGCCACCATGCCCGGCCCAGAGTCATTATTTAATGGGTAAAAGATTTTTCCCTTTGAAGCAAAGTATAACGAAACAAAGTTCTAGCATAAAGAGCTACAATAATACAGTCTACTAGCATAACTAAAGATATTAGATACACCTAAGCACCTAAAGAAAGTCATGGATTCAAAGGCTCAAACGAGGTCACATGACTTATCAAACATGTCTTAATTCTACTTTAAGTAATTTAATAACATTTATCAAACTTTTAAAGATTAGATAGAAATAGACCAAATTTCATTAGATCTACAATCTATTTCTACTATCACTATTATTTTTATACTGTTGTTTATGCCTTGTATAAAGTGCTACTATCTTACTTTGACTAATACTGCCTTGATTATTAATTCCAAAACATTTAAAAATAAAGAGTACCGTAGAGTGGCTTCAGCAAATATCTGACGTAACTTTGCTTCAGTCTCACCATAGAATCTATAAGAAATAAAATACATTTAAAGATCATTTCTTATTGGTTTCAAAGCTTTGTCTATAAAAGCTAATCCAAATTTTCAATGTTTCTATAACACTTAAAATTACTTTCAAAAATCATTTTCCAAGCAAGTTTTATACATTAAAAAGCAAAATATTTCAATGCACGAAAATATCAAGAGTACCACACAATCATTTTTAAAAAACACATTTTAGAAGCATATTTAATATTAAGTTTACTCTATTAAATCATGTACCTACTTGCTTATAATTTCAGGACCATTGATTACAGAAACATAGGCTCCAACTTCATTAGCCACAGCCCTGGCGATCATTGTCTTTCCAGTACCTGGAGGGCCATAAAGTAACACTCCTCTAGGGGCAGGAATTCCTGGAAGAAAAAGAAGAAAACACTAGATTCACCATTACTAGGTTTCTTATAAATGTTGTCATAGAAGTTCAAACATGAGTTATAAAACGTAAATTTACTTTGCATCACAAACAGTCAAGAGTTTTCTCTACCCTTCCAAAAAGATGTACTAACTAGCCCATACATTGATCCCCAATAATGACTCTCTCTCTGTAGGCCACAGAACAAGAGGAAGCATGTTGGTTAAAAAAAAAAAACATCTAGACACCCACATTGTTGCCATGCCCCGTCCCACACAACACAGTTCAATGATCAGAAAACAAAGCCCAGACAACATAAGTAGACAAGCCACCAATCCCAGTTTTCTTCCAACTAACCATCTTGAAAATGGAGTACTTATGTTTGCTAGTACATAAGCTACATAAGTACTAGCAAAATGCCAATCCAGGGGTTCATTTCACATATACATATACATAGTATTTATAAGATTCATGAGAAAGGAAAAAGCAGAGAGATCAGATGCACCAAATACATGCAAAGGATCTCGGCCATAACAATGCAGCAGAAGCCCTGAATTTCCTGAGTCAAACCATTCCTTTAATTACCTGCTTCAGGGCAAAGTGATGGGTACACAGTTACATTTCCTAACAAAAAAGTTTTATCTAATGTTTTTGAATGGTTTATTTCTTCAGTCATTACAGATGATCCAGCATGACAAGATATTATTGTAAAGCCAATACAGGTAAATGTGGAAATATGCTATTAGAAAAGACAAGGCTGTCACTAATTCACATTACAACCTAAAGATACCAAAGAGAAATGGCCAGAAAATGGCCCGTTTAAACTGGCATCTCCTAAAGCAACTGACATCTTCTACCATACCTACCACTCAGGAAATAAAAACAGGAAAAGAGGATGAACAATCATTAGACAAGTGTCAACTGTCTTAATTTGAATTTAACATTTTTGGGTGCAATAAACTGAAGAAATCATACCATACGTCTTGAAAAGTTCCGGCTGTTTGAGGGGCAATTCAATCATTTCTCTAATTACTTTCAGCTGACTACTTAAGCCTCCTATCATGTCATAAGTTACTTTGAATTGGTTGTCTTGCTCTTTTGAATTTTTATCAATCTCTGTAAAATTGACTCTTGTTGTTGAAGAAATAAAATAAAAGGTATCAGTATTGCACTTCGCTCCCATGCTGAACTTTAGCAGTCTTTCTTCTTTGATAAGTTGATCATTTCCTTCTCTGGCAGATTCAGAACTACATTTAAGACCTGTGACTTCCTCTAGCACAACTCCACTGTCATCTCCAGGGCTCTGTGTAACATCCAACAAAACATCACTGGTTTTATTTATAATTCTCTCATCAACTGGTTTACAAGGAGTACTTCTCAATGATGGGATCCGGGTCTCCTCCAGATCTAACTGGCTTAGCTGTAAGGATAACTCCAGGCTACTGGTTTCCATGCTGGACTGTTCAAAGGCCATTCTTTGGGCATCGGTGTCATTCTGAGGCCCTCCCAATATCATGCCATCTGCCCCTTTCACTCGCAATACTTGCAACTTGCATGGTCGTCCATAAAATGTACAATACAGAAAGTTGCCTGGTAAAACAATCTTGCCATCTAGAAAATAATTTGTTAAATATACATGTTAGCATAATATTTTTACCAGCTTAATGTTTAAATAGTAATATATTTCATCTATCATCTGACTGAAAAGACTAAATCAAAGATGGAGTATTAATAAAGTAACCGTCATAAAAAAACTGAGGACCTAATATTCCCCTACATTATAGCACCATCTGGAGATAGAAGGATAAGATGATTATCTGAAATCTTCCATACTCAGTGTAGCTCAGATTCTATCAACCACATCAACAAGCAGCCGGGCATTCCACATTCAATAATAAACTAAACCCAAACCAACACTCCAAGATAGCATCACTCAACTGAAAGGGCAAGAATGCAAGGGTTAAAAGTCCCAGATCTAACACTGACTCTTTCCACAGGCAAATCATATATTCTTTCCACTGCTCGACTGCCAATTAACCAGAAAAGTAACACATCCCTATCTTAAAAGTATATTCATTCACTGAGGGGAATATTCTCAAAGCTATTTTGAAGAAAACTACCATGCATATATAAGCCCTCAAAGACACTTTAGTTGCTGATGCCTTGCACCTTAAAACTTAAGAAAACAATTTAAAATATTTGTCTCACCTAGTTTTCTCAGGATACAATCAGTCAGTTCTTCTTCATTAATTTCCATATCTTTGTCACTGTAAAAGGATGAGAAGGGGACAGAAATCAGCATTAGGTACACCAGAAACTAAACTGTGGTGTAAAATTACATGTATATAGTTATAATATAGACTTAAAAGAAAAATCCATCTTCAACCTTAAAATAAATAATGTATACAACTTTGAAATGATTTACATTGTTTAGAAACTTATAGCCATGAAAATATCATTTGCAATCTGGTGCCTTAGTGGCCTAAATCAATGTACTTCAAAACACAAGGGTAATAAAATCATTTGATTCAGCCCCATCCAGCACTTTTTTAATAGAATAAAAAATGCAGGGTACACTGAATATAGAAACGGTAAATACTGCTTTGTAAAACATTAATTTCTAACACATACATACACATACGCACACATAGGTGCACTATACCTATGGATGTGTATATACAAAGAATCATGATGAAAAATGCATTTTTATTAAGTGCCATAGTCAAAAACATTTTTCAAACACTGACCTACACTAATAATTCCCTTTAGGAAGTTGCATAGTTTGGAGAAAGGCTCTTATTAATAACTTACTTCCCTTCCTTAGTATGACTTACAAATTATTTCAAGAAAATTAAGTCCTGTATAGCATGTTACTTGAAGAGGCAGAAGTAGGAAAAAGGGGAGTAATGGTTACAACAAAGGATTTTTCTGAAGAAAGGGCATGACTGAGGAAAAATGAGATCCCCTTCTTCATAATAACTGTGTCTCCCCAGAGTCGCTTAAGCGCAGGAAGTGAATGCACCTAAATACCATGCATTTGTAAAGAAACTTGCTCTTGGACATTTCTCAGAGCATGAGCATTTTTCCTCCTCCTCCATACATATGCAGCCCACATCAGGAGGGGCGACAAACAGCTGTCTGATTCTGTCAGTGACCAGTGGAGGGGGGACACTTTAGCTCAAGGGGAAGTGTAAGTGGAAGCCGAGCATAATGGCTCATGCCTGTAATCCCAGGACTTTGGGAAGCTGAGGTGGGTAGATTGCCTAAGCTCAGGAGTTCAAGTCCAGCCTGGGCAACATGGCAAAAACCCATCTCTACAAAAAATACAGGCCAGGCATGGCGACTCATGCCTGTAATCCCAGCACTTTGGGAGGTCAAGGCAGGCAGATCGCAAGGTCAAGAGATCGAGACCATCCTGGCCAACATGGTGAAACCCCATCTCTACTAAAAATACAAAAATTAGCCGGGCATGGTGGCACGCACCTGTAGACTCTCCTGCCTCAGCCTCCCTAGCTACTCAGGAGGCTGAGGCAGGAAAGTCACTTGAACCCAGGAGGCAGAGGTTGCGGTGAGCCGAGATCACAGCACTGCACTTCAGCCTGGTGACAGACCAAGACTCCATCTCCAAAAAAAAAAAAATAGATAGATAGATAGATAGATAGATAGATAGATACACACACACACACACACACACACAAACAAGAAAATTAGCTTCACTGGATGTGGTGGCATGTGCCTGTGTGCCCATCTGGTAAAACTTTGTTCTCCAATCACGTTTTTTACTTCTTGAGATGAGGTCTTGTTCTGTCACCAAGGTTGGAGTGCAGTGGCGTGATCTCCGCTCACTGCAACCTCCACCTTGCAGGCTCAAGTGATCCTCCCACCTTAGCCTCCAGAGTAACTGGGAACACAGGCGCTCATCACCATACCCAGCTAAATTTTTTTTTTTAATTTTTTGTAGAGACAGTGTTTCACCATGTTGCCCAGGCTGATCTTGAACTCCTGAGCTCTGGTGATCCACCCATGTCACCCTCCCAAAGTGCTGGGATTACAGGCGTTTCCAATCACTTCAGTAATAATACAATATAGTCAATCCTCAGTACTTGTGGATGCTTATTTGCAAATTTATCTACTCTCAAAAATTTATGTGTACCCCAAAATCAATACTCATGGGCATTTCTAGTCATTAGTGACACAGAAAAGCAGCAAAAAATTTGGGTCACCCAACACTCATGTTACTAGCTTATGTAGGATAAGGTGACACTCTGCCTTGTTTCAGCTCTCATTCAAAGATGACCAGAGAATGAAAGTGACAGGGGACACAGCAGTGTAGTGAAGAAGCTCCAAGCCTGGAGCTAGTTGGAGAGGGCTTAAATCCTATAGTGGGGCAGCCTCAGGCAAGTCCCTTAACACTTCTAAATCTCCTCTTCTCTTCTGTAAAATAAAGAAGATAAAATCTACCAGAATGAATTATTTTGGAATTTTAAGATTATAATCTATGTAAAATGTATATATATTTTTATTGCGTGTGTTGCACATGTATACACACACACACACACACACACACACACACACACACACACAGGTATTTCCCTGTAGAAGAAATGGTTCAGTATATGCTAACAGTGTTCATGGCAACTTTAATGGAACATAACTAATCGCAAATAATGAGAATCAACAATATATTCATATACAAGAGAGAGCATAAAAGAAACAGAATGAGGGGGAAATTTCATAAATCAAATATATATATTAACTAATGAGAAAATGTATCACCTTAAATGCTTACATTTATTTCTGTTTATAGAACTCTAAATTATACTTAATCACTTTTATTTATGAAACTCTAAATAGAAGGTATTTACAAATCTATGTAAGAACAGTAAAAATACCAAACCAGTTTTGCTTTTAAAAAAATAATAGCTGCACATAAAATAATTTCCACTAGAAGGAGCTCTAACATTACTATTAGTAATAAAATCTTTCAGTAGCAACTGAAGGATTTAAGCAGACTAAAATAACTGATTTTCCCAATTGGAAATTAAATATCTTGTCTATACTCAGCTGCCACATTTAAAACATAAGATTTTTTAAAACAAAATTTTAAAACCTGAGCTTTCATTTAAAACATATACAGTCCTCTATAATAAGCAATCATTAATCACCTAAGACTGCTGTGCATTCAAGAGGTCTGACTACTCTGCAGATCATCATAAATGCTCATTCTAGTCAACGAATTACTGCTATCTGTCGCACTGTTTTAAGACATAGTCTGAGGAATAATCCAGTTTAATCTGAACAATATTACTAACTACCTCATAAAATAGTAGGCAAGTTACTTCTCATTAAGCTGTTTCATCTGTTAAAAAAGGGAAGGGTAAATGTGTGTGTGTGTGTGTGTGTGTGTGTGTGTGTGTGCGCGCGCGCGCACATAAATACACGCAATATGTACAAAGCTCCTATATGCAGCTGGTACTCAACATGTTATCTCCTGTCCTTTCTGCTTTTTGTTGTTCATTAAACTGTTACTATAAGCTCTGAAAATATTTTCCTGTTATATAGGAAAAACTATGCCAAAACTCAAGTCTAAAATCTACAATTGTAGCAAAAGAGAAGGAAACATTTTAAAATCAAGCTAATGGCCGGGCACGGTGGCTCAAGCCTGTAATCCCAGCACTTTGGGAGGCCGAGGCGGGTGGATCACGAGGTCAAGAGATCGAGACCATCCTGGTCAACATGGTGAAACCCCGTCTCTACTAAAAATACAAAAAATTAGCTGGGCATGGTGGTGCGTGCCTGTAATCCCAGCTGCTCAGGAGGCTGAGGCAGGAGAATTGCCTGAACCCAGGAGGCGGAGGTTGCGGTGAGCCGAGATCGCGCCATTGCACTCCAGCCTGGGTAACAAGAGCGAAACTCTGTGTCAAAAAAAAAAAAAAAAAAAAAAAAAAATCAAGCTAATGACTAGAAAATAGTTTGTGGGACTTACATATAATGTAAACACATCCCCCAAACTATTACTAAGATGACATTATAAAAAGATGCTTTTTGTAAATGACTTTTGATAAGACTGTATATGCAAACTGAATCAAAATCCTATTAGATATAGAATATCCAAGAGGATGGATGATACACCTTAACTATCTTGATAGGTAGATTCAAACAATTAGCCTGCGGTGAGGGATCATTTTAAAATCTGATAGTAATGACTGCTTGTTTTACTACATTGAATAATCAGCAAGTTAAAATATACAATCAGGTTCTTTGCTTGCATAGTCTTAATTAAAACTTGTTTGTTTGATTCACAGTAATCTCCTCTTTTCTTTACAATTGTAAGTAAAGAAGCCCTGATTACACTGCAAGCCAAGGTAAAAAATACTGCTAAATATTCATCAATGAAAATTACTCTCACCTAAAATGTTAGGTCAAACTCTAATCATGAAAAATAAAAGTGCTTAGTCTATAAATTATAACGCACTCATTTAGCTTGTGTTGTCTAATATAACACAAGTAGCCACTAGCCACTCATCACACGTAGCTGTCAACGGCTTCAAATGGGGCTAGTACAAACTGTGATATGCTTCAAGTGTAACATATACACTGGATTTTGAAGACTTAGTTTGAAAAAAAAGGATGTACAATATTTTATTGGTAACTTTTTTCTTTCTTGAGACATAGTCTCACTCTGTCACCCAGGCTGGAGTACAGTGGCACAATCCTGGCTCACCGCAATCTCTGCCTCCCAGGCTCAAGCAATACTGTCTTAGCTCCAAACAGCTGGGACTACAGGCACATACCTCTATGCCCAGAAATTTTTTTTTTTATTTTTTTGTAGAGACAGGATTTCTCCATGTTGCGCAGGCTGGTCTCGAACTCCTGAGCACAAGAGATCCACCTGCCTTGGCCTCCCAAAGTGCTGGGATCATAGGCACAAGCCACCACACCCGGCCCTTATTTGTAATTTTTTATAATTACATGTTAAAATACATTTTTACATATATTGGTTAAATAAAACATAGTATTATAATTCATTGCACCTGTTTCTCTCTACTTTTTAAAATGTTACTACAAGAAAATGCAAAATTACATATGTGGTTTACATTTGTGACTCTTGTTATATTGCTATGGGGCAGCTTTGACCCAGAGAGTCACCAAAGAAAAGAGCCAAACCTCAGTGCCACATCCATTTCCTCAGCCTGTAGCACAGCACCCACAAGAGGCTGGACCTGGATGGCATCACCAGGCCTCACACCCACATTCTTCTGTGCCACTTCATTCAGGCCAACCTTGCCTCCAGGAAATCCTGCGATAGGCCAGGCTGTATAGACCTGCCAAAGGAAATAAAAAGGTTAGAAAATAAATATTCATAGACCACCATCAATTTGTAAGGCAGAATGCTAAGCACAGTCACGTACTTAGATATACAAAATACAGTCTTTACCTTAAAGGAGTTATAACACGACACCAATTGCAATAAGGTAAATTGCATTTTTTAAACAATTTAAACACGACACAAGCTCACGAAAAATAAACTTTATAATAAATATTTTATCTTTTTCTAAAGATCAAGAATTATCCCACAGTGAAGACAGTAGAAGATATGAAAGGTAGATATAGGAAAAAAGATAAAGGCATTAACAGGTGATAATGAGAAAAATGACAAAAATATTAAGGCAAGATAACCTGTAAAGTAATCCAGACTGGAAATTAAACTAGGAAAACATCCAGGAAATAGTGAGGAACACACCACAAGAGCTTTGTCAGAACCTGAGCCTTATCACATTTAAATGTTAAGCGAGAAGAGCAAAAATTTCCAGCTTGAGCTCACACATTTATAGTCCTCTCTTCAAGACACAGTAAAGGACCTTTAACGTATAAGCCAGAAAAATGATAAGAACAGGAGTGGTGTCATCAGCAGACAAAAAATTTCAAAGTATTTCCAGAGGATCCCCAGCGGATAAGAGAAGCATCAGAGGAAGCCACAAAAGAGAAGAGGCTGGTAGCAGAGAATAATGCCAAGCTGCCAAAAATGATCCAGGAAAGGGTTCCAGGCTTGGTAGGCTTGGAATCTCAGATATAAAGAATGACAGCAAGAAGAAACAGCTGAAACTAGGGAGAACAGTAAAATATTTGTATACAGAACAGGTGATCTTCTTACCCCAAAATAACATTTTTTATAAAGAAATATAACTAACTGACAGGGAGAAATACCATCACTCCCTCCGGAGGAAACACTTCTCTCTACATCATAACATTTTAGGGGCTACTATTCCCAGCAGAGTCATATACATAAAAGGAAAAGAGAGTTAATATGCATGTTAATGTCTTTTAAAATACAGTTTTTCATTTATTTCTGGTTGTGTTAAAAATTAAAAACAGAAATATGTCAATCACAGGTTGGGTACCTTATCCAAAATGCTTAGGGCCAGAAGCATTTGGTATTTTCCATTTTGGAATATTTACCTTATGTTTACTAGCTAAGAATCCCAAATCTGAAATCCAAATGTTCCAATGAGCATTTCCTTTGAGCACCATAGCACTCAAGAGGTTTCAAATTTTAGAGCATTTCAGAGTTTAGATTTTTGGATTTGCAATGTTCAATCTATATTTCTAAACTAAGGAAACAAAAAAGACTCTTACCTCTTGCTTTCCATTCAAACTAGTCAGCAACACTGGTCGACCTATACATATATTTGCAGACTTCATAGTGTTGAGTCCAAGATGAATAAGGGAATTCTGGAATGTTTTAGGAATTTTGTCATCTACGACGAAGGAAAAGAAAATTATTTTTGTGCCACTTTGTAACTGAAGTTAAAGCATACTATCTTTTGCAGTAAATAAAAATCCTCTAACCATATAACTACATGAATATACTAACCATACCCTGGAGAAACTAGTGGTCCAACTTTTGTTATAACAAAAAGATTTAGAACCAAAGGCTTTTGAGGGTCTACTGGCAACATATGAAGTATTAACTAAAAAGAAGATGTTCTATGGAGTGAGAATGGGTTCCATTTCTTCTTTTTTAGTCTCCCATTTCATTAAGAACTAAACATAATTGCAAAAGAGGGTCTCTGAGCTTTTAAGTTCAAAGTCGAGTCAGCTAGTAGCATTCAAAAGATTGAACTGGGAACCGGCACATCTATCTGGCTCTAGAGGATTAAGTTGTTTCTACTTCTGCCCCACATATGGTCACCAGGTCTTTTCCTTTTCTATTACCAAGAATACATAAAGATAGTAACACAAGTCTTATTCCTTATACAAACACACTGACTGAAATGATCACTAGTGATTTCAAATTCTGGCTGAAAAGGGAGACCCAGAATTCAGTCCAGTTGACATCATCTCTGAAAATGATGGGCTGACATCTCCATTCCTTTCTATCCACCGCCCCCCCCCACCAAGCTCCATATTAGGCTAGGCGTCCCCCCTCTAATTCCCCCAGAACTCTGTGCTGCCAGTTAATAGCATTTATCATCATGATATCCATTTGTCTTTCTCCTTAATTATACACTACTTTGAAGTAGGAATTGTGTCCTACTTTTCTCTGTATCTCCAATGCTTAAAAGTGCATTAAATATAGCAGTTGCATAATAAATGGCCATAAAATGAATAAATATAGTAAATGTGTAAATAATATTTTTCTTTTCAGTACAAAATCCATGAACCGTTTATGGAATTTAAAAATGCCACAACTGATCAAGGAAGTGAGAGAGGACACAAACAGATGGAAAAACATTCCATGCTCATGGTTAGGAAGAATCAATATTGTGAAAATGGCCATACTGCCCTAAGTAATTTATAGATTCAACGTTATCCCCACCAAGCTACCAATGACCTTCTTCACAAAACTGGAAAAAACCACATTAAACTTCATATAAAAACAAAAGAGCGCCCGCATAGCCAAGTCAATTCTAAGCAAAAAGAACAAAGCTGGAGGCATCATGCTACCAATTTCAAACTATCCTACAAGGCTACAGTAATCAAAACATCATGGTACTGGTACCAAAACAGAGATATAGACCGATGGAACAGAACAGAGGCCTCGAAGGCAACACCACACATCTACAGCTATCTGATCTTTGACAAACCTGACAAAAACAAGCAATGGGGAAAGGATTCCTGTTTAATAAATGGTGTTGGGAAAACTGGCTAGCCATGCGCAGAAAGCAGAAACTGGACTCCTTCCTGACACCTTACACTAAAATTAACTCCAGATGGATTAAAGATCTAAACATAAGACCTAACACCATAAAAACCCTAGAAGAAAACCTAGGCAAAACCATTCAGAACATAGGCATAGGCAAGGACTTCATGACTAAAACACCAAAAGCAATGGCAACAAAAGCCAAAATAGACAAATGGGACCTAATGTAACTCCAGAGCTTCTGCACAACAAAAGAAACAATCATTAGAGTGAACCGGCAACCAACAGAGCGGGAAAAAATTTTTGCAATCTGCTCATCTGACGAAGGGCTAATATCCAGAATCTACAAAGAACTAAAACAGATTTACAAGAAAAAAACAAACCCATTCAAAAGTGAGCAAAGGACATGAACAGACACTTTTCAAAAGAAGACATACATGAGGCCAAAAAACATATGAAAAAATGCTCATCATCACTGTTCATTAGAGAAATGCAAATCAAAACCACATTGAGATACCATCTCACACCAGTTAGACTAGCAATCATTAAAAACTCTGGATACAACAGATGCTGGTGAGGATATGGAGAAACAGGAACCCTTTTACACTGTTGGTGGGAGTGTAAATTAGTTCAACCATTGTGGAAGACAGTGTGGCGATTCCTCAAAGACCTAGAAATAGAAATTCCATTTGACCCAGCAAGCTCATTACTGGGTATATACCCAAGTGATTATAAATTGTTCTATTATAAATACACATGCACACGCATGTTCATTGTGGCACTGTTTACAATAGCAAAGACCTGAAACCAACACAAATGCCTATTAATGATAGACTGGACAAGGAAAACGTGGCACATATACACCATGGAATACTATGCAACCATAAAAAAAGGATGAGTTCGTGTCCTTTGTAGGGACATGGATGAATTTGGAAATGACCATTCTCAGCAAACTGACACAAGAACAGAAAATCAAACACTGCATGTTCTCACTCATAGGCGGGTGTTGAACAATGAGAACACATGGACATAGGGAGGGGAGCATCACACACTGGGGTCTGTTAGGGGAGACTAGGGGAAGGACAACAGGGGGTAGGGAGTTGGGAAGGGCTAACATGGGGAGAAATGCCAGATACAGGTGACGGGGATGGAGGCAGCAAACCACATTGCCATGTATGTATCTATGCAAAAATCCTGCATGTTCTGCACATGTACTCAGAACCCAAAGTGCAATAAAATATAAAAAATTTAAAAAAAAAGATTTAAAAAGTCACCTCATTATAAAATTTATTGTAAACATATATATCATAATCACAGAGCTCTACCTAAGTTTCCCTTAATAATCAGAAGAAACAGATATTTTGTAATGAAAAAGAAATTAAGTCAATGAAAGCAAAACCATAAGGTATAAATTTGATTTACATTATTCTGTCACTACAAAATAACCTCCCAACATGTTTCTTTTCCTTCTTAGAAGAGGTGCAAATCTAGAAAAACAAAGCATCTCACAGAGCTAAGATGAACAGCACTGGAATAAAACAAAATTAACCGTACTGCATAATATGAGAAGCTGGACAGAAATTCAACCTTCCAATGAACATTAGGTCTCTTACACAGCTTGCTGGTCATTAGCAGTAAAGCATACTGCTGTTAGATGACCTCATAATATTCAGTTCCTGCCGTTTTCTTCCTAAACCTATGAACTACCTTTCCCTCTTGACAATTACCAAACAAGTGTCCTCAGTCCCTCCCAAGATGTTAATTTTCTTCTTCTCCTGTCACCCTATCCGGCACATTCTCCATGCCCCAGGATTTAGCAATGTATCACAGGTTTCCCTAAATATCTCCACACTTCTCTTTCAATGGTAGTCATGTTCAAGTTCCCATTGACTGGTCTCATTTTCCAAAACACCACCACTGTATTCTCTGCTTACACTACACACATCTACTCAATTTGTCCACACAGTTCCCTTCTCACCTCACTCCTCCAATACTTTAAAAATATGTCAACATCTAATTTCTCCATTAACTACCTTCACATGTATTGAGCACCTTAAGTATCAGATTCACTAACAAGATAGCAAAGATGATTTGAAACAACCATCCACCCTTCATTCATTCATCCAGCAAATACATACTATGTGTCTACTATATGGCAGACACTATGTCAGGCATTTTTATTCACAAGTCCTTGGCCTCAAGAGTTTATGGCCTTAAAGGATGAGTGAGTTATCAAACAATCAGTGAATAGCTGTGAAATTAGAAACTAATATTAATACAATGAAAAAATAAGTTAGAATGCTAGGAGAGCCTATAATGTGGGATCTGATAATTTCGAATAAGAGAATGTTTCTCAAAGGAAGTGATATTAAAATCAGATCTGAAAGAAGAGTAGAAAATAACTAAATGAAGAAAAGAAAAAGGTAATTCCCATCAAAAAGAACAGCATGAACAGAGTTCCCGGGCAGAAGGGGATATGGTGCATCCTCAGGAGAGTACAGGTAGAGTGGTGAAGACATGGGGAAGCCATGTAAAGAAGGTCAAGACCACCCAGGGCAATAGTGCAATAGGCTACATCAAGATGCTGGTCATTACTCTGACAGCAATGGGAGCCCAGAGAGGGGTGAAAAGCAGTGTTGTAACAGGATCTTCATTTTAAAAGATCATTCTTGCTGCACAGTGGAAAAGGAATAAAGGGGCAAAATTGGAAACAGGAAAATCAGTTAAAAGGCTGCTGTAGCACTCCAGGTGAGAGATAGTGGGTCTGAAATTAAGGTAGATACAGTGGGAATGGTGTGTAAAAGAGGAATATGGAACATATTTAGATGATAAACATGATTTACTGGTGGACTAGGTATGTGAGATCGGGGGGCAGAGAGGTGTCATGGATGAATTTTGCAATGGGAAAAACTGAACAGAGTTAGTTTGTTTTGTTGGAGGAAACGCAGGCTCTTGAAGTTAGTCCTGAAGTATCTTTGAGATAACCATGAGAAGAGTTATTTCACAGTGCTATTCAAACTGTGACCTGCAAACGATTTGTTACTGCTTCATGACAAGATAAGTACAAATCAAGAGAATAAGCATTCAGAAGTTTTTACTGAAATTTACAGAGTAATTTCACATCTGTTTAATAAAAAATTTTTCTAAATTATTTTTCTAGAAAATAATTTGTACTGTATTTTACAAAAGTGCTGATCTGTGACCTAAGGTATATTTTAAAGCCTTTACCACAGAGAGCTTGAGAAGCATTGGGCTAAAAGACAACTATATTAAGGCACAAAAACAAAAGATTTACAAATATAAATCTGACACTAAAGAGACTATAGATAGGAAACTGGGCACTGGATGAACTTGCCAAGGAGAGAGGATTTACTGAGAGGGGAAAAAAATGTTTCGAAAAAAGAATTGACGAATTTCAACATTTAATGGTCAAGGGAAGACTATCAGCCTGCTAAGGAAAATGAAGTACCAATAAAGATGGAGAAAACTAGAAAAGTTTGACAACACATAAGAAGTAAAGTGTTTCCAGAGGAAGGAAATGGTCAATAATACCCAAAACTCCTGTGATCAAGTAAGGTTTATCAACATGGAGCTGCTCAGAGACCACGCCAGAACAGTTTCCATGGAATGATGGGGTGGAAGTCAAAGAGAATAGGCTAACGAGTGAGTATGTAAGTGATGAGGCGGCAGAGACCACTCTAAGAAGTTTGGCAATGGACAGAGATGATTGTAGGAAGAAAATGGGGAGCTTTTGTTCTGATTTAAGATGGAAGAGAAATGAGCATGTTCAGATGTCAATGCAAAGGATCTAGTTCATAAAGAACTTGAATCTTCAGGACAGAACAAGTTGTCTTCCCATACCTAAGAAAGAGCGAAAACACTATGTGAACTCTAAGATTGTCTTTAAGGTTTGATTAGACATAAATCATTTTGCCACTAGCTTAGTCTGGTCCATTGTTCAAAGCGATTACATTTCAAATATAAATATTCAATGTATAATTCAATTTACAAGACTTTTAGATATAAATTCGTTCTCCCAAATAAAGGAAGCTGTCATCTAGAACAATGGCTTTTAAGTAAAACCCAACTGGATTCAAATATCGCTCTGCCACTTAGTATCTGTGTAACCTGAACGGAATCACGTTAACTTTTCTTCCTCTATAAAACGGGCATTACTATACCCATCGGTTACAGCTTCTGTAGAAATTATGTGAGATAAACATACTGCTAACATAGTGTGAAGTTACTAACAGTTATTAAATATCATAACCTGTGCAGTAGTGGAAGACAATGCTATAAATCACTCCTAAAGGCAGAGTGATCCACATTTTTACTGGTTATTCAGCTTTTTAGGATAAGTATTCCATTATCCATAAGTATTCCATAAGTATTCGCTAGTTATGAACAATTTTGCAATTAATTATGTCGTTAATGTTAAATGAGACAAAGCGTTCCAAGTGCAACTTAAAAATTCAACACAATTTACAAGAGACGACTTAGACACGGATAAACCATCTCAGCCTAACTTCTCCAGTGCAGGCGTGGCTACGGTTGCATGCTTCTTACAAACATAAGTTTTACATGCTTCTCTGTCGCTCTGAGACCTATGTCACGCCCAACTTTCAAAAGTCTCTGCACCCCAAGTCAGCATCACTGAGTCTCCCTCCCCTCAGGCTGCGCCCCCTCTGCCTCTAACCTCCCTCCCGGAATGCTTTACCCTTTTCTAAGAAGTTGGTCACTGTCAGAGTCCCGGCGGCCGCCGCGAAGTCTGACCCAGCAGAAGGAGTCCGTGCCCCAGCAGAAGGAGTCCGTGCCCCCGCACAAGAGGAAGCAGCAGAGGGCAAGGGCGAACCATTTTCCGCGCTTTGGTTCAGCCGCTTTCTGTTCTTCTTGGAGGACATGATCAGCAGGAAGCCTACACGAAGTAGCAAAGCGGCCTCAAGATGCGCGCTTCAACCGAGAGAAAAACTTCCGGGGCAGAAATTAGCGAGGTTCCGCCCCTGCGCCGTAATCCTCTCAGTGGAGCGCAGTAGCGTCAGCGTGGTGGGAGGGACTGAACGTTTTCAAAACCAGCAGTCTTTGGAACGGCTGTGGGGGTTCTGGGGTCTGCAATAGAAGATACGTTCCGGGAACGGAATTAACACTTAGATTGCAAATTCCTGAAAAACGGGACGTTTTTGCATCTCCTCCCGGCTTTCCCATCTCTAAACCAACCTCTGTTGACTTAAACTACCAAATAAAATTAAGTGGGTGGAGGTGGGGAAGGAGGTTTTCCCAGCTTAACTGGAGCAGGGCAAATAGTCGAGAGTGGCCGGTGGCCGACTTCGCGGTCTCCTTGGCGTAGCTCAGCAGAACGGTAACCCCAGCTCAACTCTGAGAGCGAAATGATGGCACTCTTCTAAAATGTACGGCCGCGAGCTATGGTCCAGAGCGCGGAGGGGTCAAAAAGGCTACGGCCGAATGCGACTGCGTGGAGATGCGTCCGCTGTTAAGCTGGGGTACCTGGCGCGCGGTGCTTGCTCGGGCTGGGAGACCTAGGCCTTCGGCGGATTATCTGGGGGTCTTGGACGCACAGGGTTACGCGCGGAATCCCCCAGTTGGAGCGTGCGAGCTGCAGGGCGAGCTGGACAGATTCGGGGGCATCTCGGTGCGCCTGGCGCGGCTCGAAGCGCTGGACCGCCTGGACGCCACCGCCTTCAAGAAGGGCTTGCAGGGCAAGTGCGCCTGAGGCAAAGGGCTCCCGGGGCTCCAAAGCTTTTCTAATGAAATAACCGCAGCCCCCACTCCCGAGTCGCTCTGTGCACCCGTATCGAGCCCAGTGGAAAGGGGAGAAGGCACGCGTGACCCAGACCTGTTTTCTGGAGCATTCGTTCTTAGACCCTTTGCTGGGAGGTCTCTAAGGCGATTAGGTGAAATGGTGAAGATCCCAGAGTTTGGATCTGCGACCCTGGTTGCTGGTCCACTCTAGTATGGGACATTCGGAAATTGCCCGTGAACCACCATTTCCTCTTCCGTAAACCCTGGTGATAGGAATTCCTGGGATTGCCGAGAATTAATTTGGATAATGTATATAAAGTGCACAGCACAGTGTCTGCCACATATTTAACGCTCAGTAGATGTTTGTTAATCTTATTACATTATTACCATCATTTACCGAGCCTTGGTTCTGTCGGACACTTTTCTCAAGGGAAAAAACTGTCTTACATTCTAATACGGGTGGTTTACTGAGTGTACCGAAGAGGCTCTTTTTTAATTTTTGTGGGTATATAGTAGGTGTATGTTTATGGGATATATGAGCTATTTTGATACAGGCATATGTGTAATAATTATATCAGGGTAAATGAGATATTCAGCACCACAAGCATTCAACCACAATCCAGTTACTCTTTTAGGGTTTTTGTTGTTGTTTTTGTTTGCTTGTTTCTTTGAGACAGGGTATCATTCTGTTTCCCAGGCTAGAGCGCAGTGGCGGGATCATGGGTCACTGTAGCCTGCAACTCCTGAGCTCAAGCAATCCTCCCACTGCAGCCTCCTGGGTAGCTGGGACTACAGGCGTGCATCTGGCTTTTTTCTGTTTTTTTCTAGAGACAGTGTCTCACTGTGTTGCCCTGGCTTGTCTCAGTCTCCTGGCTCAACTCATTCTCCCGCCTTGGCCTCTCAAAGTGCTGGGATTACAGACAGGAGCCAACGCACCTGGCCTGAATTATTGAATATAGTCACCGAGTTGTGCTATCAAATACTAAACCAGAGAGGTTTAGAGTGTCACATTTGTATACAAATTGGGTCAACAGCTGTCGCAGCAAGAACTGGAGTTTTTTAGAATAACACTTCTTTTATAATTAACCAGGGAGCATGGTGGGTGGTTTCAGTCTTCGGTAAGAACCACTGGCTTTGAACCTTGAGCCCAATGATAAGAAAGCTCAGATGGAGGAGCCTTCACTTTGGAAGAAGTCCTTGATTTAGTGCTACTGAGAGTCTTATAATCTAACTAAAGGCATAGTATCCAAATTCAACTACGGAAAGATCTCTCACACAGGATACTCAAAATAATCTTTATCCTATTGAGCAATATGGCAAGAAGCATATCTGTAATTATAATTGAGCTAGTAATTTCAATGTTTACTCATCCTTATTCCCAGACTTCTTACAGGCTTCACATTATTTTCTCTCCTAGGTGGGAGTTAATTGCTGACAAGCCCACTTAGACTGCAACAATGTCAGTAATAGGAGAATCAATCAATTTATATTCCAGTGTGTGGGTAGACACAGGTGTTACACACACTGATACTTATCAATGACCAAACAGGTGATCAAAGCACTACCTCTAGTCAGCATGGTAAAGGAGAAAGCTATTCGATTTGGAGCTGCATATCCTGGGTTCAAATACCAGATTCTGCCACTTGTTTAGCTAGGCATTAGGCAAATTGCCACTGAAAATATTTGCTTCTTAGCTTGCTTTTTGTGAATAACACCAGCTCTAATTACTGGATAGATACATTGATCAAAGATGAAACTAATTTGTAAATTGAAGTACAAAATACTTATATTTTTTCAATAAAACAAATTTTGTTGCACTTAGTGGTAGATGTTTCAGGATCTTTATAAATACTAATTCATTTCATTCTCCTAACAAGACTTTGAGGTAGATATTATTCCCATTTTAAAGAAAGTACTGAGGCACAGAGAAAAAGTTACTTCTGGCTCTAGACCTGTCTAACTCACTGCACTATGCTACCTCGAAGAACTACTGCTGGTTCTGTTATAGTTGAACATAACTAACTGAAGGGTAGTGCCTATAAAGAGAAACTATTTACACATGAAGTCCACTATTCTTAGTCTTTAAGAATAAAGACTATTCTTAGTCCGTTGTTAGTGTTTATGGACTAAGAAGTCCATATTTTTAGTGGAATATGAAGTCGACTATTCATACTCTTTTAGAACGTGAACTATTGATGTTTTGTTACCAACAACTGAAGTTAGAGGGATAAACAGGCAATATATTGTTAGCTTCACACATAATGTATCTTCGTCAGTAATGAAATACTGCTGGTTCTGGCTCCTGCTATGCCACTGACTAGCTGTGTGACTTTAGGCAAGCCAATCATTTCATTAGTACAAGTTGAGCCACAGTACATAATGTAGGTGGTTAACCTGGAGAATTGCAAATGCATAGAATATTAAATAGGATTAGAAAATATAGCTAATGGAAGCAATATCATTAGGTCATATGTAATAAGTTCTAATTGTACAGACATAGTAGTCCTTAGATTCATATAACGGAGAACTCATGAGCAGTGGTTAGGAAAAGACTGGTCAAAAACGTGGAATGTGACCTGGACTTTGAAGGGTAGATATTAGAAATGGGACTGAGAGGTGGGGGAAGAAAAAGCAATAAAGCTTATAGAGAAAAGAAAGCAATTAAAAATGATTCTAAGATTTCAAGCATTGGTGCCAGAAATAAATAAGTTTGGGGTGTAAGTTCAGTTTTGCACACACTCTGTGAAGTTTGATGCAGACAGGAAATACCTGGGAACAACTGGAAAACAGAAAGTTTAGTGTTCAGTGAGGTCAGGACTGGGCAGCCATCCTCATGTAGGTGTCAGTTGAAGTAGTGGGAGTGGATGGATTCTCCAAGGCAGAGTGCAGATATAAAAACAGCAAGCAAATAGCATTCCTTCTGGAAACTAGCTTTTTAATTTGATTGAAAGGATTGCCTGGGAAGGAGCACATGTGAAATTCATGGAATGATAGAAATGTTCTATAATGTTAAAGTGTGAGTTATGGGAATATGCATATGTCAAAACTCATCAAATGTGCACTTAAGGTTTGTATACTTCACTTTATGTACTTTACCTCAATTTTTAAAGATGTAATCAGATAAAGAGAGCAAGGTGAGAAGGACCTGATCCTATAACTGCACTGCATGCTAAATCAAATCAGGAAGCCTTTATTAAAGGCCCCATGTGCCTCTCATTGTGCTAGGCACATCAACTTTCAAAGAGATAGAGAACATTGTCTTTAAAAGAGAGGAGCCTACTGCAGAGCTAGGGAAAAGAGAAGAGAAAGTTAATTAACCATTAGCTGTATAATCAAGCCCCAAGACAGACAGACAGACACACACACACACACTTACTTTATTATAGAGTTTTATAAAGATTAAATGAGATGATGAAGAAAGTGATTTGAAAAGTTTTTCTAAAAACTGTAAAACTGAAGTATTCATTTCTTCACCTATAAATTTAAGGTAGTAATACCTTTCATGGTTGTGTACTTAATGAGGTAATGTATATAACGTGCTTGGAACTTAGTAAGTTTCAAATAGATATTTGCATCTTTTTCCCCTGGCTCAATCTTAAGTAATAAAGTAAGAGAATTTAAAGAAGGCAAAGAGAAAACCTATAATTCATGATATTATCTATAATAAAGAAAAATTAGAATTCCTGTATGCTAGTAATATGTGAAGTTTGATTTTTTCATTATATTTTTTATTTTCAAGATTTCTAGAACCAGCATACATTATTTAAAAACAAAATTTAACTACCTTGAAATTTATACATCAAAAACATTATAAGAGAACTCTTAAAGGAAGAAAAAACAAGTCCATAATTGTCACTAAGATTAAACCTAAGACTGCTAAAAGGAACAGCATTAAAATGTTATTTGATTTGGTCTAAATCCATTTATTTGTCCACTCTAAAGTGTGCCAAGCATTGTCTTTGGTGGTATGGATATAAAGGTCAGCAGTGTACTGACTTTATTCTCAAGGAATTCAGTCTGATAGAAAAATCATAATAACCGCAGGGTGGTTATTATGATAAAACATGGTAGTTCCAGTGCCAGCAATGTGAACAGGACATTTGGGGACCTCATTTGCTTAAAGATGGCTTCCTGGAGTGAATTTTAATTTATTCCACTAGTCTCTCTGGAAATTATTTAGACTTTTATCTTCTGCGTTTAGTTGCAGTACAACAATGGCAATCAGAAGGTAGAACAGCTGTATGGCTGCACATTCCCATCCTCCAAAGCCGATTTATTGCCCCTGCTGCTTCCTTGGGCTTCCGTTTTCACCATGCAGAATTGGATTCATCAACGTTGACTCTGTGGCTGGGAGAAGGGCCCAGCAGGTTACCAGGATACGCTTCACATCAAGTAGGAGTTGCAGGTCAGTTTCAAACTCATGATAACCAGAATTAACTTTTTAGAGGTTCACCCAATTCCTTGCCTGTTACAGCTAAGCAAATAGTTTATTCATGTGGAATGAGTTATTTGATTAAATGATTACAGTTGTTCCACCTTATCTGCACAAGATGTGTTCCAAGACCCCAGTGGATACCTATAACCACAGATAGTACCAAACCCTATATATACCATGTTTTTTCTTATCACACATATTTATGATAAAGTTTAACTGATAAGTTAGGGACAGTAAGAGATTAACAGTAACTAATAATAAATTAGAATAATTATAACAGTATACTGGAATAAAAGTTATGTGAATGTGTTCTCTCTCAAAATATTGTTTTGTATTCACCCTTTTTGGGATGATATGAGATAATAAAATGCCTGCGTGATGAGGTGAAGAGAGGCGAATGACAGGCATTATGACCTAAATGGAAAATTCCAGAAAAGATTTTTAAGTTTTAAATTGCACGCTGTTCTGAGTAGTGTGATGAAATCTCTCACCATCCTATTCTGCCCCACCCAGGCTGTGACTCATCCCTATGTCCAGTGTATCTACGATCTATAGGCTGCCCATTCATTAGTTACTTAGTAGCCTTCCCTATTATCAGATCAGCTGTCCCAGTATCACAGTACTCGAATTCAAGTAACCCTTATACTCCTTAAAAATGGCCCCAAAGCACAAGAGTAGTGATGTAACATTTTCGGACCATGGTTGACCTTGTATAACTGAAACTATAGGAAGCAAAACTGGCCAAGGGGGACTATAGTATCTATTACATAGTGCTTTTAAATAGGACTATTACATAGCGCTTTTAAATATGTGAAGTTTGCTCAATCAGTAGACAGCAGCACAGAGAACCTGTTTAGTGTTTAGTTTTACAAAGGATACGTTTGAATATATTTTACACAAATAATTAAACTTCACTAAAATAGTAGCACTGAATTGGGATCAAGGAATATATTTATTGTAGATAAAACATGTTAGCACTAATTATATAAATTTGTAAAGTAAAAGATAACTTTTATGTTGAATTTCAGGTAAAGTAAACCAATTTTTTCATATTTGAATATTACTTCTTAAAAAATTTACATTATTGTGCCAAACAGTTGTTTAAAATAGTGTAATTTAAATATAGAGTAGAATTTTGAAGTTGCTGATTAGCTTCAGAGACATAGGAAAGTTGAGAGAAGACCTCCCTCAGAGTAAGATAGGGATTCTGAAATTGCAGCTTGCATCAAAATCACCTGGAATTTTAAAACAGATTGCTGGACCCTATCCCCAGAGTTTCCGATTCAATAGGTCTGGGGTGGGGCCCGAAAATTCACGTGATTTTCCTGGCTGTTCTGTTTTTGCTGCTGCTGCTGCTGCTGCTGCTGGTGGTGGTCTCAGTACTACCCTTTAAGGACTAGGGTTAAGGAAATTCCTAGATTTCCAGAGAAACTGTAACAGTAAGGAATCTTTATTACCTTAAATGAAAGCAATAAAACATATTAGTTATTTAATTAATGATTTTATTTGCCTTTATATAACTTACAAGAGTTTTTAAGGTAGTTTGCACACCTACAGTGTTTTCAAGGAGTTGTTCAAGAATGTCTAATGATGTCTTTTCTGTCCATGTCTTACTTCCCTGTAGCAAGCAGACACTCAGAAACTTTCCGTTCAGCTCTATTTCAAAAGATTCTACTCAGTAATTTAGTGACAGCCTCACATTTCAATGGAAAGTCATACAAATAATTATCATTTATTGGTACAGACTCTTTTTTTTTTTTTTTT